ATGAAGTTGAACATCATTTGGGTATGATGCTATTTACCCTTGACATACTATGGATGAGGGGGTTAAATAATTGAACTTCTGTGATCATAATGATATTGATCCACTCAATTGGTCTAATCAACCTTAATTAATCGGTCACAACAACGGCTTAAATGACCGAGAGTATACAAACTACTGTAAAACATGTTGAAAAAGCGGCACGCAATTTTAACGAATTGTTGTAAAATGACGTAATAGCGAAATGTTGAGTTAACAAATCTCCCTTGTCATTGTTGATTTCTTTGTTTGGCGGCCATTTTGAATTGATAATAAAGTCATTAGCGACATCTTGAATTAGCGAATAAGTTCTCGCTAAATTCGCAAAAAAGACATGTTTTACAGTATAATCTAATCAATGAATATAACACTTATTACAATTTTGTATTATTTTTGTTTAATTGTGCATTTATATTAATAGGTTTCGTTGGAGCAGGTATAGACCACTATACGCACAGCGATCATTTTAATCATATGCACAATCTCAGAAAAAATGATGATTGTATAGCTAAGAAGTATATTGGTAAATATTCCACAACAATCTTTGCAAATGAAGGAAAGGATATAATTAATGCACATGATCAAAACAAAGTAAGTTTGCATTATAATAAAATAAAGATAGTCTATATGGTCACATTGATGTCATCTATGTGTTATCAGCCTTGCTCAATTGTTTTTAAATGGGCATGATTGTATGATCTTTTTCAGTGAAGAGGTTTCCAGTGGCGAACAAAATAGGTATCAGCAAAATGTGACACTCAAAATGCAAGAAATAGCCTGTAAAAGTTTTAAAGCTGAGCATGCCCCCGGACCCGCTCGTGAGATAGCACCTTAGGCGCAGGGTTGGTTAGCACACCCCCCCCCCAATTCAAAATGTCGTGCCGCCGCTTCTGTGTTCTTTTCCAATTTCGCTGCTCTCACAATCATGGTCGTCATGACTAACCCCCACCCAAACACCCACCCCCATCCACCCCCCACCCCCCAGCGATATATACTGGTTGTGAGAAAATTGATATTCTGATTCTGTTCGGATTTACAAAATGTGAATGCAGTGAACTGACACATGTTCATATCTTCCTATCATAGCCACTTTTTTTGTATC